GCTGCGTGCAAGTGGGTCTTTATGACACACGGGGATGGGGGCAGCCAGCGCTCAACCTGTCATCCACGTGGCTGGCCTTGTACGTAAGAGGTTATGAACAGGTGGAGCTTTCCTTACCTCTTCTTCTCCCCCTTTTTTCTTTTCTCTTCTTTTCTTCTTCCTTTTTTTCGCTTCTGCGCTCTGATTCACAGTGTGACAATATATATAATATTGCCACAAGAATATCAGAGTGCAAATGCGAAAAAAAAAAGAAAAAAAAAAGAAAGAAAGAAAGAAAAAAGAAAGAAAAACAGGAAAAAATGAATTCAGTTTTTTATCTTCTTCCTTATATAACTCCCCCTGTTCAGAACCTCCTCTTGCGTACAAGGCCGCCCACGTGGATGTAGGTTGAGCGGCGGCTGCCCCCAACCCCGTGTGTCATATCGACCCACTTGCACACAGCCAAAAGGCAAAGAGGCAAAGAAAAGAGGAAGGGAACAGCCAAATACTAATACAGAACAGGGGGCAACAAAACAGATCCCAGATGAGTGACAGGTCCCACATGCAAGCACCGCCCCTGCCCACAGGCCAAACGACGGGACAAGACCAACCAGGATGTCAAGCATTCTTGACTGCAAAAAAATCAAAACGAACCCGGAGGACCGGTATAAAAAACAATCCCGGATGACGATTCCCAGCACCGCCCCGAAAGGCCGAACAACGGGAAACAACCAACCAGGATGACTAATCCGACATAAAGCACCGCTACCTGCTTAGACCGAAATAGACCGAATAACGGGACAAAACCAACCGGGATGCATGCAGACAAGATTACCATAACAAATCTACCATATCCATAGTCCAAAAAAAAAAAAAACCGGAACTATACAGTAGGCCAGCAAAACGAAACACCCCAACAACGGGGGAGAATGAGCAACACAAAAAAAAGGGGATGATAGGACGATGATTCAGGCTATTTTCGACGTAAATGAATTCTTGCATGCACTATATATACGATATCCGTTTGCATTCCAACCTCTGCCTCGTCATCAGTCTCCGTCTCCGTCTTGCCCTCTCTCTCGGAGCAAAACTCCCTCCTACCTGTGCACAGAGGATGTCTCCCCCCGCCCCCCCCCCCCCCCCTCCCTCCCTCCTCCCCTCCTTTCCCTCTCTTCTCTCCACCCTTTCCCCCAAACCCCACCGTTCTCCCCTTCCTTTCCCCCCCCCCCCCTCCCCCGTTCTTCCCCCCTCTTTTCTTTTTGTGTATCTCAATGAAATGATGAGAGCAAGCGGCCGTTAGGATAATCAGTCAGCAGACTTAACAGATTAAACCGCGTAGGATAATCAGTCAGCAGACTCAACAGATTAAACCACCAGTACTTTGAACAACAGCGGCCGTTAATGTGCCAGCCAGTGCTACAGTGTCGTGATAGTTCGTTTCGAATGAATTTAGCCCAGCACAACAGGCCCGTTCATCCCAGCGCTTTCCGGTGCGTGCATAACCTCACCCACCTTGGGAGGTACTGGTGGCTTAACTGGAAACGGTCACTAAAAATAGCTAAAAATAGCTAAAAACAGCTAAAAATAGCTAAAAACAGCTAAAAATAGCTAAAAATCTGGCCGACACTTCCATACCAGTTGCTTGCAAAAGAAATCTCCTTAAACCCAAAAAAAAAATCAACGAACCAATGCCTGCTACCTCTTTTTCACTTCCCTGCTCCATTACCTCATATCTTTGTGTGTGGGTGTGTGGGTGTGGGTGTGGGGGGGTGGGGGGGTGTGGGTGTTTGTGTGTGGGTGGGTGGGGGGGGGGGGGGGGGGTGGGGGGGGGGGGGGGGGAAAACGGGGGGGGGAAGAAGGTTACAAGGTGCGGAAGGGGTTTTGTGTTTGCTTGTGGTTGTCGGTGAATGGTCGTTGGTGTGTGTGTGTTTGTGAAAAGTTAGGAGAACGGCTTCTGCTGAAGTACCCGACGACGGAGATGGTTATTTCAACGATTGCGTCTCTGACATCTTTGGCAGCAAATTCAACAGTGACTGTTGAGAGACAGGTGGCGTTATCTGGTTGACCTGTGGGAGATATGATGCAACTCCTTGACCGGTTTTTTTTTTTTTTGTTTTTTTTTTTGTTTTGTTTTTTTTTGTTTTTAACTCCTTGAGTCCTTGACCCTGGATCTGTCCGTTATTCAATGATTAAAAAAAAAATAGAGAATCAATTACAGATGTTTTCTGTTTGTCCTCCTTCCTGTGTTTTTTCTGTTAAAACTGTGAAGTCTTTGACAGAAGACATGAAAAACTTCAGAAAAAGGGATTTTTTTTTTTTTTTAAAGAAAAAAAAAGAAAAAGGATTACTGCAAATGGCTACACTTTTGTATTTTCTTTCTCTCTGTGTTTTTCCAGCTTACAGCCTTTCACCTACCTACCTAACACTGGCCATGTACTCGAACCCGGTCTGACCACCAACCGGATCTGTGAAAGGGGTTCAGCAACCTGACTGGCATGAGGCACCATGTCGCACTCGATAGTGAAGGTTGGACCTCACACAGGATAGGCCCCCCCCCCCCCTCCTCCTCCTGAATGAGGAGAAGGCAGTCTGTTTTCGGGGGAAAGAAAAAAAAGAAAACCCTGCAAATGACGTTTGTTATTTTGTTTTTGATAGTTTTGTCTGATTGTTTGGCATATTATTGTTTGGGAATGCTGCTGCCATCATCTCCCCCCCGAACATAACACATGCGTTGTAACTGAATACAACACATAGATTGCTTTTTTCTATTCGAATAGAACGCATGTGTGTTCTATTCCAACAGCCATTGTTTTCGAATACAACACATATGTGTTCCATTCGAGTTTTTTAATATTTTGAAAACTCGAATACAGCGCATATGTTTTGTGTTGGGGGGGGAAGACGGTAGCACAGCCTGTGCTCACACAGATGCACATATGTTGATTTGTGCACACACACACCCCTACACCCCCTTCATAGGGGATGTCATCGAACACACACAGCTCATTAAAAAAAACTGCCAGTTCAGCAAAAACATAGTACGGCTCGTACCGCCATTACGGGTTCACATGGTAAAAGCTTTTCGATTCGCGCCTACACGCCGGTAGTGAACGCGGCAGGCCACTTCGAAAAGGCACAGTTGCAGCCTCACAAGCCTTGTAAAGCTGGTGGTAGCTTCGTCAGCTTATGCTCGTGTGAACTGGTGGTTCAGACAAATCATATTTGCAGACACACACCGGTCATCGGACGCATCATAACACATGTCAACGTACAAAGGGTTAGCTAGTAGAAAAAACAAAAGAGGAAATCCAAGAAAATCTTAAGGAAAGCCAAGAAAGGACTGCACAAGGGAAAAGGCACTGTGATGGTTTTAGTGTGCTGCATGTTGTTTGCTATAGAGGTTCTCAATTTTGGATCTACTCATATGAGTGGAAATAGGGGTGGTTGTGGTGACAG